TATATATATATATATATATAATGGAATCTTTTCCAAATTCCCAATAATGTACATGTATTACTTTTCAATCAGAAGACAACCCACAGAACATGTTGCTTAATCAATCACTGAAGCTTTATATCAAAGAATTCCTGTTTATCTTCTTCAGCAAATGAGAACCATCCCGGCACGCGGGACGCATGTAGTGCTTCCAAAAGGCCGCTGTCCCGCCATGTTTTTTCTCCCTTGTTTTCCTGTGAAGCTACCTCAGTGCAGTTAAATATTGGGAATCCCATTGGACTTTCTGGAGAGCTGCCAGAGGACCACAGTGCTGTCTTGTGTCACCATGCTGTCTTGTCCTGTGGCATTGGTGCTTAAATGCTCTCAGCTTGAAAAAAGTTCCAAGGCCATTGTCAAGTTCGACCCAGAACTCTTAACTCTAGTAACACTCTCTAAGGCACTTTGATTACAGGCATTTTGGTCTATCGCCCTCCTTCACCTTGGCTCACAATTACCACCAACCGAGATAGGTAAAAACTGTAACTGACATCTAGTATTAATCAACAAGCACCAACAAGATCTGGTCCCTGCATTTTAAGCTGAGGTCCATACTCATTCAGCAGCTAAGCCTACAATTAAGTAAAGATACTAAGTTAATACGTACCCTGAATACACAAGGTTTTATAATTAAAATAGTTTTAAACATACCTTCTCTCATTCTGCCATCCAACGAATTGAAAACTATTCGTCTGCATTAGGACACAGATTTAAAATTGAATACTCACTCTTGTTTTCCTACTCGTTAACTTAAACAATAATAAAAATATTTAGTATGCACTTCACACAATTTGAGAGATCAGAGTAATCAAAAATGTCATCTGCCAGTGGGAGAAACTTGTCTTTCTCCTTTTAGCCTTCACCTGCTCTAAAAATACGGTGCGGTTTGAAGCCTGTGAAAGGTACAAACGTGTTGACTAGCTCGTGGCTGCGGGAAGAAATTGAACCTTTAAATGGTGCACTCATGTCTCCACTTAAGTCCCATAAAAACTTTTTCTACGATTTTCAGATTTTATTTCAAAAATGGCGTGTTTTGAAACTCTTGTATACTTTCTGACTACAAAAATTTACTTTTCTGACTCGAAATGCAGTGTTGTTTTTATGAAAGAAAGAGGGTGTTGCGGTACAATCAGAAAGGGACCTAACCTGTGAAAACCTGTCTTCGGAAAACAGTGACCGCTTCCCTCCGGATGGTCTGTAGTTTGCTAGTTTGCTAGTTAACTGAGTGAATCCAAGTTCCTCCCCTTTGATCTGACCGTGATTCTTCGTGGCGCTCCCTAACAACCAGCCTGGGTGTTCTTTCCCTGCTTGATAAAAGGAAAGAATTAGACCACAATGACACTGCAAATTGACGCTTACTACTGAGTTCAGATTGTAGAGTCTACTGAAGTCTGAGACCAGGAAGAGCACTGTCCACCCAGGGAATCAAAAAATAGTCCAGCAAAGGCTATGAAAGATAGCAACTCCCAGGGAACAGGCTAATTTTATCCCCCAAACACTGGAGAGAATTCATGGGTATTTCTCTTCAAGACTGTTCTCGAGAGCAACAGACAACAGCAGTCACCCCGAAGATGGCTTCTCAGGATTGTGGAAGTGAAATGACCATAATGGACCATACCAAGAAAGCAGGGGGCTCGCTGCGCTTAGGGAGGATGACGGAAGTGCTGACTAGCTGGGAGGAGTGTGGGGGAGGAAAAGTAATTTTCCCTCTACTCTTCTAGGCTCTTGGCTGAGACACTCTTCGTAATAAAAGACAGATCGACCAGACAAAAACAAACAGACATTTAATAACATATATACCTCCTTCATGCATAGGCGATATTTACAAAAACCGAGTGGCTCCCTGAGATGATCCAGCCACCACTTTAAATGTCATCTTCACCTAATAACAAAATGCTGGGGGTGGGGCAATGGGTACGGGAGATCTTCAGGAAAAGCGCAGTGAAGGAGGGTGAGGTTGTGCAGATTTGAGTCTCTGCCTTCTTCATTGATAAGACTTTCTAGAGATTTAGTCATTCTCCTTTTCCTTGATATCAAGGGAGACACCCTTACAAATGGAGAGTTCCCGCATAAATGGAAATGTCTCTTACAGAAAGGTAACTTCTACCTGGTTTTTAGAGCCTTCCCTGTGTCTACTGTGTCTTAAAAACAATCATCCTAGGGGCACCTCGGTGGCTCATTCAGTTGAGCTTCTGACCCTTGATCTCGAGTCATGATATCAGAGTGAGCGAGATTGGGCCCCACATCCCAGCAGAACCTGCTTGGGATTCTCTCTCCCTCTCTCCCTGCCCCTTCCCTGCTCTCACTCTCCCTCTCTCTCCAAATAAATAAATAAACTTTTTAAAAAATCAGCCTAAACTAATCCTATGCCTATTAAAGAATAAATATTCAACCATCATGGATATCTAATTGGTTTTATTAAGTAACTGATGAATCTGGCAGAATCCCATCTAGCAAGTGCTGAGGAGTTGTACAAAATGGAAAGTTTTTATAGGAAGGAGAGTGGGGCAAGGAAGTTATCAGCAAAAGAAAAGAAAGGATTATTCCAGGAAAGGTCACTCTCCCTTAGGAAAAAGTCCAGGGGGGCTTATGAGGAGAATTATCCCATGTTCCTTTGGGGAGGATGGAAAGAATAGAACCCCTAAGACTAATAACCTGTCTAATGCTGACCAGAGAGCTACATTCTAGGGAAAGTTAAAACTGTAATTAGATTGGGTATTAAGCCCTAACAGAAGGGACACTGTTTTAGGCCTGTTGCTTTCTTTTTGACATGCCAAAGAGGCATATTTTGGGGGGATGTGTTCTGCCCCCTTCAGGAAGCCAGGGCAAGTGAAGAAAGAATTCCTGCTTCTCCTCAGGAATTTCATAGAGATTTTGGCTCTATGAAGACTGTGAGTATGAGCATTTGTCTTCCAAGCTTTCATACTTACGCTGACAACACGAAGGGATCAGGCAGTGATGAGTGAGGTGAACAGATTTGTCGCCTAAGGTCTTCCAGGATCTCTTAGTGCCTGTTTGCAATTCAACTGTTCAGTATTTGTGTATATGCTGCGTTCTATAACACAGGAAACTTTGAGAAATTAATTGGTGATATCTCTTTTTTTTTGCTACTGTACCCCTGCCAGCCAAAAAAGGAAGGACTGAGCCCCTTCCCTCTCACAAGAAGGGCAGAGAAGCCACACAGTCCTGGGCTGCTCTGAAGTCTGGTAGGATCCGGAATGAACCCTGAGCACAGCAGTGCTCCATTGACCCTCACCTCTGTGCTCAGCCCTTACGGAATCTGGGGGTCCCTTCTTCTCTTTTCTTACAGCATTTACCTTAGAGAACTTACAATCATTAAACTCTTTGTCCCTTTGAGATGTACATTATTTTTAATTTGAAAAAAAAATTAAAAGCCTTTTGCCAGTTTTACATTCCAGGACTGTCTTTCTCAAGGATCTAAGAGCCATCACTTCGAAATGTAATCATCTGGGAAAATAGAGCCCTTACCTCTCAGTCTCTGTGATAGGACGGGAGCCTCGTTCAGTGGGAGCCTTGCTCCAAGTTGTAAATCTACCTCTTGTCTTGTGAATAAGGGAAGAATTTGCTTTTATTTTGGGTAAAGCCAATTAGCAAACACAGATGGCTTTAGGGCCCCCTCTCCCCCGTCCCACCCCAGCTCTTAAAAACTTTCCTGTTCTTTGTTCTAATAGAGATAGGTATCCAGACTGTGCTTTTCTCACTATTACTGGCGATAGTATAGGAATAAAATCAGTTTCTGTTTTCTCCTCTTCTCCAGTGCCACTTTTCTTAACCAATATACACATAGGCCATAAGTCCTTTTGGGTGATTAATGGAAGGAGGGAGGGGAATCCCCAAAGAACATGTAACAATAGCATTATCATCAACCTTGCCAAATAAGGATCTCTTTTTTTAATTTAGAAAAATAAGGGAACATGGCCGTTCTTGCAATTATCGGAGAGCAATTTACAATCTTTATGCAAATGCCTTGATGTACATTGAAGACATCAAAAGATGGAAACTAAGACAGAGTTCAACAAAGCAGATGTGTAGGTTTTTAAAAATATTGTTTTATATTCTTAAACTTCACTTATAGTGATTAATACTGTTTTGAAATTAGCACCATCAGTATTAAAAGTGTGAATGGAAGGGCACAGCACTTAACACAAATCAAAGCGAACTGAACATATAATTGAGATTTTCCACCATATTCTGTCAGTCTCTGCTTGTTCTGTGGTCTATACATTTATGGGGAATATATTTCGTGAACTGATACAGCGGAGTCTGTACTAGAGAAGCATTCTGGTGAGTCACTGTGCGAGATTCATGTTCAGAAACTGAGTCCAAAAGGAGCTTAAAATGGCACCTATCCCGGGGCGTTTGGGTGGCTCAGCAGGTTAAGCACCTGACTCTTGATTGGGCTCAAGTCATGACCTCACAGTTTGTGGATTCAAGCTCTGGGTTATCCATGATGACTGTACAGAACCTGCTTGGGATTCTCCCTCTCTGTCCTCCCCAGTTCGTGCTCACTCTCTCTCAAATTAAATAAATAAACTTAAAAAAAAATGACCCCTATCCCACCAATAGGCACAACCAGCCTCTCGGAAAACAAACACAGAGGACAAAGCAGAGAAGGTGAGAAAGAACACTGACAAAGGAGAAAACACTCAGGTTAGAAGGGATTTCCATTCTTCTCCCTTGGTTCTTGGCTATAGGTGCTCTCTTATTTGACACGCAGATATTTCAAGACGTCTGGCCATCATTTCAAACTACATGCTTTACATAAATCTTCTCTGCGTGGTTTGATGATTTTTTCCTTGCATTCTGCTTTGTTAGATATCGTGACCATAACCACAGGCTTTTACGTTGTATACCTTTGTTCATCTTTTTATTTTCCATCATCATGAATTGATTTATATTAGCTATGCCTCTTGCATTCAGTTTTCATTAGATTTTGACTTTTGTTCTAATTTGAAATTCTTTCCATAAGTGAATTTAGCATGTTTCCGTTCATTGCCATAGAGATGTGTTTGGTGCTGTTTCTACTATATTTTTATGGTATTGCATTTTAAGGGCTTTTAAAAACCTTTACTATACAATATGATTCGGTTCTGATGTGTTCTTCTGTGTTTTTTTTTCTAGTAATTTGTATTCTTTCCTTCCCTTTTACATTTGATTTCGGAAAATTATTGTAGAACAACATCATAAGCACAAAGGAGTATTTGCATCCTTCAAATTACTTAGGTAGGAAAGCATGTGTTGAGTTAACTTAAAAAGAGAAATGAGGTATTTAGACATAATTAAAGGGAAACAGGAATCTTCAAGGCTGAAAGTCATACAGTTTAACTTCGTAAGTAAAACTTACCTAAGATGATTCTTGCCCAAGAAATCAATAGCATATTAGAGAAAAATGCATATAATAATAATTTTTGTTTGCTCCCAGGCAGTTTCTTAGTAACATAAAAGAGTATATGACCACCTGAAAAAAAAATGTTTCCTAAAATAGTCTTATCTTGAGATAGATCTTGAAATATATCTCTAAATCTAAACATATCTGATTATGATATCTTGATAAAGAAATTGACCACAAATTTTTAAAACTACATGACAAATGCTGAGCTGCTAATTTGGGGATAGCTAGCGGTTGCCCACTAGGCAGAATGACGGCCCTTAAATATTCTTGGTCCTAATGCCAGGATCCTATGACTATGTCATGACATATATGGCAATTGGAATTAAGGTTACAGGTGGAATTAAGTTTACTTATCCCTGATTTTAAGATTAAAAAGAATATCCTGGATTTTCCCTTGAGCTTAATGTAATCACAACTGCCCTTGAAAAATGGAAGAGAAGGGAAGAGGCATTGGGGTCGGAGTGATGCAGTGTGAGAAAGACTGAATGGCCATTGCAGGCTCTGAAGATGAAAGGAGGCCAGGAGCCAAGGCATGCTGGTAGGTTCTAGGGTCCCGAGAAGCAAAACAAAACAAAACAAAAAAACCACTTTTCTCCCCTAGAACGTCCAGAAAAAAACACAGCCCTGCCAGCACCTTGCCCAGTGCAACCAATCGCAGCTTCTGACTGCCAGGACTCCCATATAATAACTTTGTGCTGTTTAAAGCACTACAATTGGTTACAACAGTGAAAGGAAACTGATACATTCATTTCCATAAGTGTGTGTCCACTTTGAGAACACTGACAAGTTCAATGTGATTTTTGGAGTTTCTCTTAAGAGGGGAATACACACATTCCCAAACTGGGCATTATAATTTTACGACTCTCAATCCTCAGTAAACTCAACAACACTTTGAGGTTCGGTACATCCAAAGTGATATGAAAGTATTTACTTGTACGGGCGCCTGGGTGGCTTGGTCGGTTAAGCGTCTGGCTCTTGATTCTGGCTCAGGTCATGATCTCATAGTTCGCGGGACTGAACCCACATTGGACTCCAAGCTGACAGCACCGGAGTCTGCTTGGGACTCTCTCTCCCTCCTGCCCCTTTCCTGCTTGCACTCACATGTGCCCCTCTCTGTCTCTCTTTCTTTCTCTCAAAATAAATAAGCAGACACTAAAAGAAGGAAAATATTTAACTGTAAAGGCAACTTTATAAGTAATAATTTGAAAGAGACTTACCATATTCTATACCACATACTCTTTGTAAATAGATGTGAACTTCCATAAAAACGTGCTAGGTATCCAAACCACAATTTCCAAACTAGACAATTTAGACGGATAGAATTTATTGAGGAAAAATTAACGCAAGCTGAATAGAAAGGTGTTTGACATTTTACGACTTTGAACATGCCTTTTGTTAGTCTAGCATAGATCCTGCTAAACCATAGGATCAAATAGAGGGTAACACATTGATTTTTCAAGTGCCACTTTTTTTTTTTTTTTTTTTTTTTTTTTTTTTTTTTTTTTTTTTTTTTTTTTTTTCTGTACGATACTCTGAAAAAAGCTCATCAACAGCTGCCTGGATTTTTTCCTGTGTAAAACAGACTGAGTGAATAGAAGTGACTTTAAATGACAGTCTGGTTATTTATAGACGAGCAAATGAAAGATTTATGCCCTGTTGGTATGCATCAGGTCAAGGTATGAACATTTGAAATGGTAATAGACTTAAAAGTCAAGCGTGCTGGCTTTTCATATCTTTTCACACCAAACTTATCGAGAGCCCATTAGCCACACATTAACTATCTAAAACTAGGCATCAAAATTATTCTGAGCAGCAGGATGTGTCTGATTGTTCTTTATTAATAAAGGTAGCACAGTTTAGATAATTCTGGAGTGGCAGTGGGCATCAATGACAAATTTTAACTTGAAGTGTAAGCCTTCGTCTACATTGAGTGAATTGAATATAATGAATATTTTAGCACCTTGGCTTAAAGTTTCTTTCATTGTCCTAAGTATGAAAAAGAAGAAGAAAGGAAGATGAAGCTGGGCAGAGCCAGGGGCCAGGACCACTGGGAGCAAGTCTATCTGACGATAGAAAGTATCCAGGGCTGCAAAGGATAAGCCAAAGAAAGCAAAGGGAGGCTTCTCCTCTTCTTCCGCCTTTATATCCCCCTCCGATGACTCTCACTGGCTAAATGTATCTAGGAACCACAGAACAAAAGATCCTGGGAAATATATTTCCTTAAGATGGAAATAAGAGCCGGGGAAGGGCAGAGCATTTATTTGAAGAGAAGAGTAAATGTGATTGACATGCCAAGCATTGTCGCAAAACCCGTGAAGAGAAGGGATTCCGCCATTTCTTCTTCCACATAGGGAAGCTGGCATCCTTGGTGTGATGTTTACACCCTACTTTATTTTCATCGGCTATGACCACATCAGAAGAGATTTCTTGGTGTGTAGTTGGGGGGATAATTGTATAACCACTCGCTTGAATTTGCTTGTGTAGATATTTTATTTGGACTAAACAATGCCACTAGACTTTGGCCACGTCATTTAGTCACTTTTCAGATG